GTTGGTTTATGAATTTCTGCAATTTGATTTTTAGCCAGATATATAGAGAGAATATACTTCAAAACAAGCATATCAAGACCTGATTTTTGCTATATTATCATGCATTTACATTAGTTGCATGCACAAATTAGATATTTGCAGGTGCAAATGTCCAATTATACCACTTATTTCACAAATACCTAATCTGCATGCATATGCAAACTAGGCACACAGTTTCTGCAATTTGATTTTTAGCCAGATATATAGAGAGAATATACTTCAAAACAAGCATATCAAGACCTGATTTTTGCTATATTATCATGCATTTACATTAGTTGCATGCACAAATTAGATATTTGCAGGTGCAAATGTCCAATTATACCACTTATTTCACAAATACCTAATCTGCATGCATATGCAAACTAGGCACACAGTTGTTGACACACATCATTAAAAATTAGGCCCTTGCTGTGGCACAGTGTAAATAGCTTGCTAGGGTACACACTCCAAATGTAGAAAGTACTGCAAAAAATAATTTCTGCACTATAAAGTCTCTATTAATTTTTAATGTTATCCACTGCCAGTCGTAGTCTAATTAATTCAGCAAATAAAGAGCAATTTTTTATTAAAACTAGAAATCTGACATATTCTGAGTGTACATAAAAATCACTGTGGTCTCTGAAACTAATTTATAACATCTTACAGTATTTTTAGTGAAGTTATTTAGTATGTATAATATAACATGCATGAGGGGGAAAGAAAATATTTAGTACAGCCCATCTCATCCCAGTAACTACATGATTGACTGACCATGATTTATTTATGTAGGGATTGTGGACTGACAAATTATTCATTACTTTATACCCCAGAAAAAGGTAGAGGCCCTTTGCTGCTGGGCATGTCATGAATTTAAACAATAGTTGGAGATGCATCAGCATGAACAAAACAACCTCCTGGAAATGTCCAAGCATGGACATGAATCTTTGCAAGGGCAGTTCACCATAGGTATGAATAATTGAGGTGAGCTGCCCCTACACAAGCTGTGTGTAAGTTATATTTTCAGATAGGCTATAATCAGAAATGTCCTGAAACCATTCACTTGAACTTTTACATTCTGAACTCACTGACTGCCATGTGAGCCAAACAAAAATCTGAATCTAAACATCCCAAAGGAGTAAATTCAAGTCGGGGTTTAAATCAGGATCCAGGTTTCATGGCTGGTCTCGTCTCTATTTATAATCTGGTTGCTAGGAAACATGTTGTATTTTAGATTAGCACATTGTTAGAAATATCTGGCAAAAAAAAGGAGCACTTTCCTGACTTAGGGCGTTGTAGAAGGAACTAGCATTTACAGTAAAATTACCACACTAATCGGATTTAATTAAGGTTTGCTATTTTTGTTTTTATTAACAGAAACTTCCAAGCAAGTTCAAGAAGATATATGCAGAGTTTGAAAGCTTAATGGTGAATAGCAATAGATCCCTTATTCTATGCACAATCTGAGATAATTCAGTTTCTGAGTAACTGATTTGAATTCCGTGATTCAGAACATTTTATATGTCCTTGTTTGACTTTAAGAAGTTTATGATCCCATTTTAGAGCTGCTAAAACAAGTATGTATGACTAATAAATTATACTCTTAGGAACCTACTCTGAAAGAACTTATGTACCACTCAAAGTTAATCTGGGAACTCAGAAAAGCTTTATCACATGTTTTCCAATAGTACATATGGGAAATTCTATTTTTCAACCTGGATTTTTCCAGGCAATACATTTTAGTATTACAACATATGCAAAACTGGATTTGCAGCTGCAAGGAGGGAGGAAAAATGTGTGGTTTCTTTTGTGAACATCTTTATAATCATATCCTACCTCCCTATTTGGCATGAAAAATGTTTGTGTTTAGGGGCTGCATTCTCATCATGCAAGCAACCTGGGAGAATGATAAAAGGTGTCTGAATTTGAAGGTGCACCTTTAAAGTCACAGGGAAAAATAATTGTTTTAATAAATGCCATGATATCTAAATGAATGCATACAGTGTCTCAGCACATAAAGTAATACATATTAGTAACTATTTGATTTCTCTTTTCTCACAAGGATCCGTCAAGAAACCACAGGGCCTACAGATTAACTGTAGCTAAACTGGACCCTCCAATAATTCCCTTCATGCCCTTACTTATCAAAGGTAAGCTTGGATGTTACCAGAATTATTAACTTGAAAGCTATTTGTCAAATATTTGAAGAATAAGAGTAGCAGCAAGAAAAAGCAAAAATCAATGTCAGTGTGGCATATGATCTTTTTCCATTATAAAAAACATGACACAGAGACAAGAGAAGCTGCTTTCATTCATCTGAATATCATACCTCAATTTTATTAGTCTCAGAAATGCTGCAAATTAAAGCCTAAATGTTTTACATTTACAGCTGCTATGGTTTTTGTAAGGGATGGATAAACCATTGTGCTGTTTTGTATGGCCATGATTCAGTAATAGCTTTTCTGTGTCTTTTATTTCCATACAGACATGACGTTTACTCATGAGGGAAACAAGACATTCACTGACAATCTGGTAAACTTCGAAAAAATGGTATGTATGACATATTTGAAAGAAAACTTAAAAAGACCTCCCTATTCATCTCCTCAAGAGTGAACTTCTCAACAATGACTTCCAAGGCTAGAGAAAGGGAAGGCAGGACCAAGAGCTGACAAAAATAGTCTGTGTTGTGCACAGCGCCTGGGACCTCTGGGTTTCTGGAAAACCTCAGAGAGGTGGAGAAACTGCCCACTGAGCCATGCACAGCCAAAATGTTTCCTAGGAGAGGCAGTATCAGTGACAGGGAGCAGAGCTGTTAGAGGCAATTTTTAACAGCCAGTTTGGGATCAACCTGTGATTTTAATGGCTGCTCCTTCAAACAGGGCTGAACTGCCTCAGGCTGCGATAGTTCTACATTGCTCCTCAGAGAATGAAAGAAACATTAAACAGAACGTGTACAACATTTTATTTTCTTCTTTCCTTTAACAAGTGCAAGGTGATATCTGTGACTTGATTGCTTTCATATTGGAAAGGGGAATCAATGATAAAAGGCTAGATTATGCTCAAATGTGTTTTAGTTTAAATTCTGCACCTGAGGTGTCATCATTTCAAACACTGTTGTCAAAAGCTGCAGGCAGGCAACTTTCCATTGCAACTGAAACTCAGTTTCTCAGGAGTGAGAAGCCATTTTCTTGGTTTCCAAGGCCATGTTCCGAATTAATATGGATAATGACACCTGCATCTGAGAACCTGGGTTAGCCAAGCCTGGCTATGAGCATCTGCATGGCAAAACCAAACCTGACTTACTGTTCTGGCAGTAAATCATAGAATCACTAAGGCTAGAAAAGACCTACAAGATCTTCAACCATTAACACTGCATCACCTTGTTCACCACTAAACCATGTCCCCAGGTGCCACATCCATACACTATTTGAACACTTCCAGGGATGGTGATTCGACCACCTCCCTGGACAGCCTATTCCAATGCCTGAGCACCCTCTCAGTGAAGAAATTTTTCCTGACATCCAATCTAAATCTCCCCTGGTGCAACTTGAGGCCATTTCTTCTCATTCATTCAGCAGCCATGCTAGAACATCTCTTCTGGCACTTATATATGCTTGTTTGGTACTACAGTAACCAGAACCACTCCATGGGTATTTCCACTGCACTATGGAGGAGCTTGTTGACCCTTTAAGCACCAATACTGCAGAGGGGAAGAAAGGAGGACTTACAGCTCTTTAGGAAACTTCACAGTGATCATCATTGTGAGTGAATTCTCCTCTTAGATTTTACTCTGTAGCTCCAGGACAGCCTCTGTCCTAGGGTTGAAAATGCCTCTCTACTAAGCTGAGACTTTTTTGTGGGTAAATGGCAGTGCTAGTGCCTGAATAAGGGCCTGACCCCACTTTGCAGTAATGGCATTCTGTAATTGCATACGCAGACAGTGTTGCCATCTCCTTCCAAAGGCCTCAGGCCTTCTACCTGCAGGAAAGGGCTTTTCTTCTGGACTGCCTTTTCTAATTAGGTAGAGATAGATAGATAGATAGATAGATAGATAGATAGATAGATAGATAGATGGATTTATTTTAGTGTAGATAGTAAATACTCCAGGAAACACAAAGGGATCTCAGACTTGGTTGGAGCACCTCCAGACCAGAAGGGGTGGCAGCTGCATTGCTATAGACATGGTTCTGTGGCTGGCTCCAACATCACCACCTCAGCTGGTTTACACCACCTGAGCCAGAAGAGCCAGTACATCCACAGGCCTCAGAGCTCTATGCCTTAGGCTCTTCTTTATGCCTGATTATGTGTAAAAGCCATTGCAGGAGGCAGGGGCTCTCCTCTGAGCACTTCCCATAGACAGAAGTTCAATCCAGGCTTGTCATTTAGAAATAATTCTGCACTGCTCTGTACCATATTTTGGCCAAGGCCAAGAGTGAATTTTATGGCAGCTTAATCTGATCTATATCTAGGTTGCTACAGGTCAGCACATTGCCTTATCTTCAGAAGTATGTTATCTCCAGAACAGGAGTTTACTCATAGCACCCAAAAGTTTTAAATAAAATTTTACACTGCAAGAATGTCATATCAGTAATCTGAGTTTTGAGCATTTTCTCTAGGAAAGGAAAGTGAAGATCAATTAATGGTTTTTTGATGCTATGTCTTTTTTAAAGACTCAATGTCACGTGTTCCTCCACTCAACAGAAAGGGAAACATTCTTCTTTTTTAGTGTTCCAAACCTTTCTTCAGTTTTTGCTCTACCTAAAAGCTCACTCTACTTTTTCTCCAGGCCTTACTGCAAGTATATCTCTTGTGTTTTTATTATTCTTCACGAGCTATTCTGCATGCTTCTAGGGTGTTTTTTTACTGCCTCTCTCAACCCAGAGCTGTCCAAAGCAACATGTATTCAAATTCCACCCACATAATTCATTCACATCCTAATGTGGACCTGGCAGTTTTTAGCTTTTTGCATGTGTCATCAGGTCAAGCAAAGAAGAAAAGCCTACTGTTAAACCTCAGTCACTGCCGCCTACTTGTGTTAAGCTTACAACTGTCATATCCACACATAATTGCCAGATATTAACTAGTGAAGACAAGACCACTCAGCCAGATAACTCTCAGATAAATTTTGCTCTCCTTTACATAAGTACAAACCCAAGGTAAATCTGTGCTGTTACTATGCCATTTTCAGGAGAAAAGCAGAAACCAGATTTCCTCACTGGAATCATGTCCTGCCATTTGTTGTTTCTGCCTCTTTGTTCTGCTGTCACAAGCAGATGAGATTCCTCTGAGCATTGCTGGGAGCCACCCTTACTGATCTTCCTAAATCATCTTCCTTCTTCAGAAAATTGCCTCCCTTGATCCATCCTAACTTTGATACTTGCTGAAGTTTATGAATAAAAACATCTGGGTACTTGCCACTGGTGGTGCCATTTGCCATCAGAGGAGGTGGCTCCCTCCAACGCTCGACTCTCATGTAAGCACAGTGATGAAACTTAGAACAGCTTCTGGCATTGTGTCTGCATTCTCACCACAGAGCTTGGATCCTGACAGCTGATGTGCTGCTGACAACTTTATTCCTGTAACTGGCAGCCAAAAGTAGAAGTTTGATCTAGTGGCATTTCTTCAGCTGAAGCAGCTTCCTTTAAACCTTTTCTGTTTTCTGATGTTTCTGTTATTATTTATATTAAATGATGCATCTTAAAACATGCAGGAGCTGTCAGGCAGTGTCTGAGCCAGGAGCTCCCTGAGTGCCAGAACCAGCGAGGCCTGGTTTCCTAAACATTTGTATTTCATGGCTGCTGAGCTCTGCTCAGAGTTTTCCTCGTGGCTGGGGCATGTGTCATTTCTTCATGGCTGGGGAATTCTGTGTGAATAGGCTTTTGTCATAACATAGGAACTTGCACTACAGCCTTTTTCCTGAAGGAGACAGGAGGGCACTTACACAATCTTTCTCTTGTCTGCAGCCATCTATTTTCACAGAAAATTGGTAGAAGCTTTCATGTGTTTGAAAACTCTGGGTTCTTTTTTCAAATTGAACAAAATCATCTAGAGAAGAAGGGAAAAACATTAGCCTAGTCTTTTTTAGCATCTCATGCTAAAAAGGAAAGGGACTGAGTCAATTTTTCCTGTGACACTTCCTATAAATTGATCTTTTCAGGGGTGTAGTGGCAGAACTGTGGTATTGGCACTAGTGAGGGGACATCATGCTGCAGAATATTGAGCTTTACCTGCTGCTGCCTTTGTGACTGTCTGCTTCTTCTTCCCCATCCCCTGATCCCCATGGATGCCTTATTTGGAGGAAGCTGTGAGGAGTGGGAGGACAGGGACCAGCTAGCCAGACAAGAGAATAACCATGTGTGGCAGAGCCACAGTTACATGTAAAGAGGGAAGTTTGCAAATGGACCCATTTGGTTTGTACAAGATATGGGCGAACAGTATTGAACTTGTCAGAAATAAGTATGCTCTTACTCTTTGTATTTGCACTGTACTTGTTCTCTTTACCATGCCATTTATTGCATGAAGCAAGGTGTGTTTGTGTGTGTGTGTGTGTGTGTGTGTATGAAACAAGCATTTGGCCTTAAAATCCAGCTTGGAAAATGTTATTTGTATTTTTATCAATAAGTAGACAGAACAACTAAATTACTGGTCTTAGTAGTGTAAGTCTTTAGTAAAAGACTTTTTCTTCAATACCAAACAAGACATGATTTTAGAGAAGTGTTGAAGGTCTTTAACTTATCTCACTGCCAGAAGCTGATGGAGACAGGTTACAAGCTGTTTCCACCATGATGTTGCTCAGCTGCACCTTCTAGTTTGGTGTATACTCCATGACACCAAACTATCTGCATCTCTTCTTCACTAGCGAGTTGATGGTAGTTGTTAGTTGTGTTGATTTAGAAGACTCAGCTATGTGATAACCAGAGACATATCTGTCACAGAGCAACACGACTTGTAAAGTGTTTAAATACTGTAGTTGTAGTTTTGCAGGTGGGGGACATCTTGATTGCTGCAAGTAGGTAAAAGATAAAAAGATGGCAGTAGGCAGCAAGCACAATTAGTTTGTCATCTATAATGACCCTCTTTACAGGTGAAGGCAAGCACCCAAAGCTGTCAGTATTAGCAGTTTCTATAAACTCTGCATGATTTAACATATACAGTGCAAACTACAACCTGCAGCACAGTACATGGCAATATATAACATTGAAGTGACACTGCTTTTATAGCTATATATTTAGAAAAGATTTAAAAGCCCTTTCCTAGAATTATGTCTTGCCAGGGGAACAGAGAGGAAAGTGAGGAAAGAACTGAGCGTGACTGTCTTTAGGGACAGGCAGTATTTCATACTCTTGACCGCTTAACTGATGTCTGCTTTTTTCAAACTTAACTGCATAATTCTGCACTCTGACTGGCAGTACAAATTTTGTATTCATAGACAGAGGGAAGATGCAATTATTTGGGAACTTTATCAGTACCATTTATTAAATCATCAGACAGCCTCAACAAAGATCAGTGTCCATGGCACCATCTCCATGTCACACTACCCAGCATGTCTCAGAAATGGCACCTGTGGAGGGAGCAGAAGTCAGGAAAGAGCTCTTAAAGTGCTTACCTGCCATGGCAGCACAAGACAGTGCCATGGTGCTGGCCACTTCTCTTTGTCAAGCCTCTTCACCCTTCAGGTGTGAAATGAGGATTAGAGAATCTGTGCATATTCATTTTCAGGTTTTGTGGAGATGAACAAAAGGGAATTCACATTCTGATCCATATGCAAAAAAAAAGGGGCAAACATTCCTTCATTTTTGGAACATAAAGATTATGCAAAAAAGTGTGTGTCTAAAGCCCTTAGTAGTTTTCTATGGCATATATGAATATTTATAATATTTAGCAACTTGGGTGTGGAATGGATTAGAAGATAATGTGCTGGCCTGCTGCCACAATTCCAGGGCATTGTTGTGTATGTATAGCATGCTGGTAGTAGTGGTTGCTTGTTATATTATGCAGTTGGTTCTATTTCACAAAGATCCAAATTTAGGTTTGTATGGCTTTTCAGTAGTGGTCTTAGCACTGTGAGTAAATACAGGCATTGACTAGAGGTAATCCTCTATTTGAAGAAAATTTGTAAGGAGCATGCAATTAAACTTACATCTGAACATGTTTCTAGTTTTCTTGGCTCAAAAGAGGACAACCCAACTTATCTACAAGACTGAGGAAGAGAAATTCTCTTGTGTTTCGTGTGCTGTTTTTCTGTTCACTTTGCACCTAACAAAGAGGAGCTCTTAGGAGTTTAGGCAGTATTAGACAGTACAACAGCACTTTGGAAAAGTCAGTGTGTAAGGTTAGATACACTTGTGCAAACTAACACCAACAGCTCTGTTTAATGAAACTTGCCTACAGGGCCACAGTTTGAACAGTGGCCTTCTCACTCAAGCATTCTGCCAGACAAATCAGTGCACACACACACCCTCAAGTGCTCATTTACACTGTCTTTTTCCAGGAGGACTGCATTTAAAACTCAAGCTCATATAAAAGGTGAAAGCTCTTTAATTGCTGAGTATGTTCTAGAAATGGCCTTGCTGTTAGGAATGGATGGTCTTAAAATTAACATGTATATATTCCATAGTGTTCCACATGATATTCCTTTTACATTTTAATGTGGGAAGATGTTATCAAAGAAATGCATGTCGAAGGGATTGATTTTCAGTCTTAGTTAAGGCCTTTTACAGCATTCAAGCAAGGGAAAGGGTTCTCTGAGTGCATGTAAATTACACTCATGCTCATTTAAAGCCTGTGTAAATGCAAATCACACCCTACATATAAGGGGATCAGCATTAAAATTATATTTTCATTCATATGACTGCTTTTATTGGCATATGTCTTCACACTCAGGCACAGTTAGGTGCTTCCTTTAAATGATGATGAAATACAGTGCTTGTTCTCTGATTGCATCCCATCTTTTCCTTCCAGCGCATGATTGCCAACACTGTCAGGACAGTGAAATTCTGCCGAAGCCAATCTTTCAGTAAGTGTATTAAAACATCTGCACAGTCAGCGTTATCATCAGTAGCTACAGTAATTACAACTAATTCTGTGTGTACCAGAATTGAAAAGCCTGGTTTCCAGTGATTTTTCCATGTTTGGATTCTCTGATGTTTCACAGGGTGAAATATCCTTCAGGAATCATGCGAAAGAGCTAAATATCTGTGAGGTCTCTACCCATCTAAATTAGAGCTGATTGAAATTAGCCACTGCGTTCAGAAGTGGTTGAAATAAGTCTAGCAGGCAGCAGCACGCACATAGATGGGAGATACTTGCTTGGATAAATGATGTTTTAATAGGAAACCAGTCCGGAACATGACGTTTATAAATGACGTAACTGCGTAAGGTGATGCATTGAAAACCTGTTTGTCAGTATAATTACCTGAACATACTTGGGGCCATGTCAGATGACAGAGCTGTATAGTCAAACAGGCTTGTTCTGTGGGTGCCCCGTCAGTCCCAGTCACTGCATTCCCTCAGTGCTTCAGCCACTTTGCCTTCCTCTTTCTCAAGCAACAGAATAAATACTATAAACCAATAAATAATATAAACCAGTAATTATAAAAATAGTTGCTTTCCATCTGGATCAGAGCTTAACTGTAGAAGATCGAGTAAAGGGGTTTGGTTTTTTCCTCCACCATCAAGGTTTTTCTGGCTTTGTGTCTTTAATTTGGATGCATTAAGCACTGGTGAGACCTCCACGTATTTAAAAATGGAACTCGATTTTCATTATAGATGATACAACAAAATGTCAGTATTTAGATCTACTGCCCCTCAGTCCCAGGCTTTTTGTGTGTGTGGATGTGTATTTATGTACTGCAGATGCTTTAGTATCTTTTTTTTAGTTGCAGTTAAGTCACCTAACACATATTTCATTAAACTGTAAGCTGTTCCCTGTGAGGCTAAAGGTACTCAGATTTTAACACAGTGGTATTCCACAATTGTTGCTGGAGTAGGTAGAATGTGGTTATGTTAAGTAATGTAAACAGGTAGTAAATTCTGAGGCTTGAATGGGGCACTACATTGTTACAAATACTTCGCACTGAGCTAGAAATGGGAATATTACATGAAAGGAGGCTTAAATCAATGATGTAATTTTGAATCTGTGTGAAAGTTGCTGGTTTAAAAGCAGATGGGCAACTTGTTAGATATATAATTCATAGCTATTGACTAATAAGGTGATGTATAAAACTGTAACCAAGGGCCATCAATTTGAGTAAATATAGCCAAGGCTATCCAGGAGAAGTTAATTTGTGGGGGTAGTAACCAGAGAGACTGTCAGACATGGCGGAAGGTTTCAAAGAGAGCAATCTCTAAATATTTTCTTTTTTACTCACCAGGATCTGGTGTTTCCTGTGACTACTTGTAAAGAGTTATGCATTCTGGTCAGGCATTTGTTCATTTCAGTGTATCAATCCTACATCATTTCTTTCACCAGATCCTGACGCAGCCCTGGCTAATAAGAACCACCAGGATGTTCGGAGCTATGTGCGGCAATTAAATGTGATTGACAACCAGAGAACTTTATCACAGATGTCTCACCGGCTCGAACCGCGTCGAGCATAAACACTGAAGCGATGATGAGAAATGATCCTCTCAAGGTCACTTGCTAAGAACTTCACTTTCTCTGCTACCGCACTGCCACTACAAAAACAAGCAAAAACACATTCTAAGGTCTTAGGCAACGCACAATGTCCCAGCCTGCCGGGGAACCTGGGCTGAGGAAGAATTTATGCACTGTAGGTGTACAGGTGGCCATGTTGTGAGCTGTTAATTCATCTTAAAGTGTAGTAAGTGATTTCTCATATGGATTTTAAAAAAAAGGCAAAAGATAAAATAGAACAGTTAGTGGGAAATGCACAAAATGCTTTTAACAGTTCTAAGGTAGGTAGTGTTTTTTTCTCCCTAATGAAAAATCTGTATTTTATCGTTTACTCTCCAGGTCAGGACCAAAACTGATCATCAGTTTAGCTTGCCCAGCTACTGTTGACCTCAGTAGAAGATGTATGCAAGCATCTGATGAAAGAATGTAGGTTCAAGGTATAGTTCCATTCAGAGAAGACTTCCAGGTATTTCCATTTTAAATACAACAGACACTAAGAAAAAATGCTAACGTTAATAATACTGCCTACTACTGCAATCAGTGTGGCCATTTCAGAAAACTGACAGGACTGAAAATCTTCTGAATGATAAATAGATTAATCTGTGTTTACCTTTTACTTTTTTTAAACTACCAATCAGGTTTTTAACAGAATTCCATTACAATAGTAAGGTTGTCAAAATCAATAGCATTAAGGGTAGCAAAGGACTGGTTCAAAAAGAGCACAATATGCACAAATGGATTTCAAGATAATGTTCTCCTGGACGTTAAAACCTTAAACTTCAGCTATAAATAATTTGTAGCTGGTTAACACATATTTTCCAGTCTTAAGCATTTACAGGTATCTTAATTTTCAGCCAATTGTTTTGCACTTTCAATAGACTGTAAATAAATGTTAATTCATTATGTTCTAGAATATTTATTTATGTAATAGTTATTGTGCCAAAATAATTCTGTTTTATTTATTTTGTTAGCATGTTATGGGAGTGCAGCTTTGATCTTCACATTTTGTGTGCATTTACATGTAGGAATTGCGTGATCTATCTTTCCTGTAAATAACATGCAGTACCTTATTAAATGTAATTGCTGGAAAGGTTTAGTCACTGGCCTTATTTGCACTTTCAGCTTCATTCCTGCATAAATACCAATGCTACTAATTGGCTGATACATCAAACTTTGCTTGTCATTTGCTGGGCCTTGAAACCACAGTTAGCCTGCATCCATTGTGATATGGACTATGAGTTTAAAGCCAGTCAGACCCATCCCTGCCACAGGGCATGACAGTCCTGCAGCAGTGTAACACTATGGTTTATTAGCTGGTTTGTTTCTGAGGAGGCTCCTTACCCTGCCATGTAAAGACAAAAACATTTACATTGGAAAGGTTTAAACAACTAAGAGATATATTCTTAATTTTAGCTATCTGACTATTTTGTCCTGCTCAGTCACTAATGTGAGCACTACAAGTTGTCTTGGACAGGATTTTACCTTGGGTTGGCTAACTCAAAACCTTGGCTAATGTGGCACTCGAGAGACCTCTGGCTCTGGTCACCACAGGGAGGTTTATCAGGTCCTGCAGCCATGAGGGAGGAGGTGATCTGGCATGTTCCCTTTCCCCTTCTGACTGTGCAAGGGATGGCTGTGGTACTGCTGGGCAAGCCCCGATGGCAGCCAAGTGTGTGCCAAGGGGACAACGATGTTCAAATGGCAAAAGTCTTTCCTGTTGGCATTCACACTGGCTCTGTGGAGCTAGATGTCCTAAAAGTGATTAAGCCTGAAATTAGAAGTTGCAACTATCATCCCATAATTAAGCTTCAGAGATGACCTCCTTGATAGTCTACATTTTGCCTCAGATGCAGAGTATACTTTTCTTGGCATTGAGCATTACTGTGTGGAGTCAGTATACACATAACGATTGTTTTCATCTCTAAAAATAATTATATCCTTTTAGTCAAAACATGAATTCTGCAAAAGCTGAGAGTCACCAGGGAAATGCTGACACAGAACCACAATCTGTTCAGTACCTGCATTCTGCAAGGAAAGAATTACACAGTTAAGAAATATTCTGCAGCATGATGAAATAATTTATTTTAACTTTGCTGTCTGACTAGAAGTTCAAGATGATTCAGAGGAAAACCAGCTAATAACATAGAGACAAATTTGTGTCTTATTATTTCAAGTGAGAAATATTTATTTCCATTTGTACTGTTCTATGAATATACTTCATATGGCTTTTTCAGATACATAATCTTCCCAGAAGCAAAGTATGCAGTAGAATAAACTACAGGGACACAATTAATTCAAAAGATGTTTTTATCTTTACAATCAATTTATAACATTTCTGAGTTCATGATTTTATTTGTTCCAGATTTGTTCCTATTGTTTGGACTTTCATTTACTTCTGTGTTAGCTGGTTTATAAAGCTGCCAAGTTTTGGCTTGGCTCTGTGCATAGACCGATTCTTCATCTGTTTAGTATGTTTTTATCCCTTTGGTTTACTCTTTTTTCTTTAGAACCTCTAACTGTTTTACTTACTTGTTGCCAGCAGTCTCTATTGTGTAGCTATATCCTAGTGATACAAAGAGAGGTTTTATGGCACCTCCATATCAACAAATGAATGCAGTTTACCTACTCAATGAAACTGGTATCTGGCATTTTTTAATTTTCCAATAAAGGGTGCTGTATAAATAACAAGTGTTGCTATCTCTGTATCTACCTCATTCAAGTGGCTCAGATAGTTGCTATGGTGCTGATCACTATCTACATACCTAGAGATTAGATGAATAAAACTACCGTCTGGCTCTGAGATCTGTCCTGGGGCTTCTCTGGCTCCCTGTGTTGACTTCACAACAGGTAGGCAGCTGTCATTATATTGCTCTTGCTGTATGAAGTCTAAGCAACTGTTGCAATAGTGTGAAGAATGAACAGGAGCTCAAGAAACATTGAAATGCCCATCCTGGCTTCATCCTGTGCTCGCAGCTGCAAGCTTGATCCTTCTTCAGGTGAAGACACCCCCTTGCCTGCTGACTGTTGGGGATGAGTGGTGAGCCTGGGCTCAGAGGCTGTGCCAACACAGACTACAGGGTCAGGCTATCCCCAGCACTGCTCTGCACATGGTCCATGCTGCTCTGGTTGCAGCACTTGGCCTGGTTTTGGCCCCTGACAACTTGCACCACAGGAGAGTGTCCAGCCATTATTTGTGGAGGAGCATGCACCAGGGACCATTTCCAGTGGGAAATACAGACAAGTCTGTCCATCCTGTCTCTGTCCCCTCCACTCAGTTCTCTGGTGGTACACAGGATGCTTCACACCTCCATCACACCTCTTGTGTGAGCAGCACAAACACTGCAGCACAGCCCCCTCCTGATTTCAGCACTGCAGGCTGACAAATACAAACCAGTTCAGAACAGTGATTGTGCCTGAGGGTCACAGGCTGTATGTACAGTGCTGATACTGCTGGTCTGTGCTCCTTGGCCTCAGGCCCCAGAGCTTCTGACACTGTTATATTTACTTGCTGTGGTTTTCAGATGAGAGGTGACTGGGAGTCCACAATAAATATCCACTGCTGGGGACCACTGGGCCAGGATGGTGCCACCTTGAGCATTTGGGAGATGTTCTGCTTGACATGGTTCCACTGCTGACATGGTTTTTTGCTCAGGCAGCAGCAGAGAGCACAAGCACATCTGTTTAGGGCTGCCAGAACCTAAAGTGTCACAGGGTACAGCTCTCCCTACCCAGCACATTTTGCTATTGTTGCTTTGTTAGGATTTGCTCTTTTTCTCCATGGCCAGGCCCAGTTCTGGTCATCACTAGACAAAGACAGGGAACAAAGGTTAAATCCAGGGAGGCTTGAATCCTGCTCACCAGGAGGCTACAACTGTTTGGTAAAGGCAGGATCCAAAATATTTTCCACAGACATCTTGTTCAAACCCAATCAGCCACAAAGACATGATAGACAGATAAGAATTCAAATGTATTTGCAGGACTTTGCAGATAGAAGGTTTGGGCTTTTTCTTCCTAAGTAAGATACTGTAAAGGCACACAGCCTCTGCAGAGCAGGTACAAAGAGAGACAGAGACAAAAAATCCCTCTTTTCAGAGACACTGGCAAAACAACCTTTTAAGTGCAAGAAGTTTAAGTATCATTTAGAAATCCTACAAAATAAGTTAGAAATCAAAAGGTTTAACCTGCAGGGGTACCAAAAGAGATAATGAATTTTGCTTGGGAAAAAATAATATAACAAAATTATAAATCTAAATTGTTAACATAGCTTCTTAGTAAGGTCAACTGCATAATATACAGCACCTTAACCTCTTCCAGCAATTTTTAAACACCACGCAGCTTAAATAGACTACTTCTGAATTCAGTGGTATTTCTTCTGGGAGCTCTGAATGCAAATCAAGAGGTAATAGTGGAAGAAAATTAAAAGATGTGCTAGTCTCATTTCATTTTTTGTACTGATAATAAGGAAAGCAGCATAGAGTGATATGGCAAAGTGAACCTGTAACTTGAATAGCTTTTCTTTCACCGTTAATCTGAAATGCATTACACTCTGCCTTTTCAAATAACCATAATGTTCTTTACTGTAGCCTACATTAAAGTTTAGCAGGCATAAGCAGCAGCTGTCACCAGAGGTCAAGGTATTAGCAATCAAAGAAAATAATGACCAGATTAAAAAGTTATCATTAGAATTACTAAACCAGAAACTTCTTTAGCAGCCTATCTTTGAGCCCTGCCTCCAGGGCTGTAGCTGTGCCCATGGAGCCCCCACCACCCTCGGACATCTTTCCGTGGCAGTACTTGGCCAGGGTGATGATGTGACCTCAGTGGCCAGACAGGATCCTCACTCCTCTGCCTCTCTTGGAAATGTGCACTGCTGCCCCAGACTAACTCCTGCAGGACATAGCTGGTAGCTAAATCCTCACCTCAAGCTTCTCGCTGCGGTCAGTGTGCACCTGGGAGGACAGGAGCATCTGGGGTACATCCTGTGTGCATTTACCATCCAACAGCATGCAGAGACTGCTTCAACTGCCCCATGTACTGCTTTTGCAACTACATTCAGGTCTCAATACCATCTAACTAAGGAAGCAACTTGTAAATTCACAAAGGAATGTAATCTAACCATAGTCTTGGTGGTTTATGACTCAAGTGATGGGGGACTACTGTATAAAGCAAGATTATTAAAAGGGAAAAAGAGCATGTACAGCTACAAAATCTATCACATCTAACTGCTGAAGGATATTTCACAAAGGGCTCATTTTTAATAGGCCTGGCACTCAAAGGTAATTTCTGAATTCAAAATAAACTCAGAAAGCGACATGATAATGCATGAAGAACGGATAATTACTGACGCAAATTGGAATATTTTTCTTGGAAACTCCATGTAATA